TATATATGAATACATCAATCACTACTTGGCAATGATGCTGAACTAAGATCGGAATTATATTCTAGTGGCAGTAAGAACAAAAACCTTTATGGACAAAAATTCTTAATAACTTGGGAGGTAGGCGTTTATAATTTGTGCATGAACGTGTGTGCGTGCACGTGCGTGTGTGTATACTGTCTTTTGGATGTTTTTCTGTCAGAAGTTTCATTCCTAGTCAGAGAGAGAGAGAGAAAAATGATTCGTCGATTGACATCGAAACGATATCGATTTAACGATTTCAACATCAATTCGATATTGTTTCGAACGAATTATTCTCACTGGGTTTTTTATTTTATATTTTACTAGATTAGATTGCATCATATATGCTATTCCATCTTTGGAGCAAATTCAATTTCTATATTAACAGTTATTGTTGAACTAAGTAATCTAATTGTCTAATAAAAATTCTTCAATGTCGCCAGCGGTAGTTAACAATGTTAGTGTTTTCTTGACCATACCTGTCATTTTTAATAATATAAAAAATTTACGGCGAAAAATATTACCTCAATCAGGGTTTGAACCTGAACTTTGGCTTAATTTTAATTAATGTCAAGTTTATTTTCGCTTTACAGTAAGCATTTATTAAATTTTAAATTGTTTATTATTATATCAATTTAATGAAATATGGAAATTATTCTTTTTATAGCAAAAAGAATGGATTCAGAAAGTGTATTACTTGCTGTTTGCTGTTTAGTAAATAAATTAAAACGATCGAGGCACAATATTTTTTATCAGAAAGAATTTCGGCGTAAAATATTTCTATTATTTGCGCTTTACTCAACTGTAGTAAGCAAAGAAAAGTCTAAGAAAATGCGTCGATATTGGGTGAGACCTTTATTTTCTGAACATCGGCGATTGTTATAAGGAGCGAGTAACAATCTTGTAAAAGAAATGGAAACTGAGGACAAAGGAAAATTTGTCAATTATTTCCGAATGGATCCTATAATATTCCAAGAATTACTTAAAATCATCGGTCCATTTATAGTTAAACAACATGTTATACGAGAACCAATTCCTCCTGAAACACGTTTGCATATGTATAACACTTCGATATTTGGCATCAGGAGACAGTATGGCGTCTATCTCATATGCCTATCGACTTGGCCATAATACTGTGTCGAAAATAATATCAGAGACCTGCGAGAAAATATGGAATATTTTAAAGGAAACAGTGTTTCATTATGACAGTCCAAAGAATTGGGAAAAACTTGCTGACGAATTCGAGCAACTTTGGAATTATCCAAATTGTGTAGTCCGTATTGACGGAAAACACATTGCACTGCAGGTACCTATATAAACAAAGGTTTTTTCTTATAAATTTTGATTAAAATAACTAATTACACACTACGTATTTATACTTCATATCACACGAATAATTTATTATAAGAAATATTAGTCAAAGTATGTTGGTTTATATTTATTGTGAAGTACCTTTTCTTATTAATGTTCAATGAATGATATAATTATATACATATACAATTTTTGAATACAGGCTCCGCCAAATAGTGGCTCAACATATTTCAATTATAAGAAATACCATAGCATAATTTTGTTGGCGATAAGCGATGCAAAATACCATTTTACTATGGTCGACATTAGTGCAGAGGGGAGACAAAGCGATGGGGAGTTTTTAAAAATAGTGATATAGGAAGACATTTTGAGGAAGGTACTATTACGTCCGCGATTCTCCGGGGCTCGTTCGGCGGCGGCGGGCTCGCGGACGCGCGCGCGGTGGGCGCGTTGGTTTGTGGTTTTGTGTCTGCGTTAAAAGGTGTGAAAAGAAACGTACGAAGATATAGAAGTGGACGAGGATGCTACTCGCGGGAGAAGAGTACGAGGATTCGCTCTTCGCACAGGGCCGAGCGGATGCAGTGCGGGAAGGGCGATTCCGGGTAAGAGTGATTCGTGAGTTCTCGACGCAGCCTGATTAGCGCGGCTTTATTGCTTCTCTTAATATTAGCTTTATTTTCGTAGTGAGGCTCTCTATGGCTCGTACGACGGGCCCACGACCCTGAGCAGGAGGAGCCGGACGACCGGCGGTGACTTCCGGCTTGGCGACGGCCGCGTCAGCTCGCGGCAGAGGGACCCGTGGATTCGCGGGCCGGGCGAATAGTTCCCCGGCCGTTGGAAGCGGAGCGCGCGGGATCGCGGGCGAGAAGGTCCGCGGCTGTGGCGTGGTGCGCGAGCCTACTGGGGCCCTAGGAGCCGCCCCGAGGAAGATAGACGGGTCGAACCTCCCGTACCTCGTGTAGTCGCCGGTCAGTCGCTTCAGCTGCACCTTCCTACCTCCGCGGCGAGACCGACGTGGTTTTCCCATGGCTGGACATGGCGAATTTTTCGAATTAGGCGACTTGGTCGCTGGCGATGGACACGAAGAATTTACACGACGTCACACGGAGGGAAGTACACGGAAGGCGGGACGACGAGGATCGGCGAGAAGACGGGACTGCGGGAAGAGAAGGCGGCAAGAACGCGCGGGGAGCGCGCTCAGGCCGTAGGCGGTGGCTGGTGCGTCCCTGGCCCGGCCGACGGCGACGGTTAGCCGCGCTGGTCGGGGAACAGGAGCTCACGCGAGGTAGAGACGGACTCCGGTCGACGCGGCTCGTCGCGCGATCCGGACAGGTGCAGAGGGTCTCGTGGAGGCTGGAGGCTCGCCGAGGGAATGAGGACGGTCGGGGACACTTCACGGGGGCACAACACTATTTTGCACAGCACGACACGTGGAGATTAGCCGCGGGTGTAGGCGCGAAATAATAGCAATTGTCTGGTTAGCACCGATATAGAGTTTATTCGAACTTCGCACTGTCACTTACACTTGTGCTTGTTTCTGTGTCGAGATAATAAAGAGAACAAAAGAAGTTACAACTATTAGCGCCGAGCGAAGGAAAGGCGGCGGCTCTCTCGGTTCGACGGAGCCTGAGAGTAGAAGGCTGTGCAGGCTTCGGCGAAACCAAGTTGTTCACGCGGCTGAGACGCGCGCGAGAGTGGGCTCACTGGGGCTAAGTCCGACGCCTTGGATCGGCGCTGCGGCTAAGGCCGTCGGAGGGCCAATTCCCGCGACTGAGTGCTTACTTGCGGATTAGATCGGTAAAGCTCAGAGGAGCGATCGCGAACGAGAGCGTTCTTCGCTCCGAAATCGCCCCTTATATACGAAAATTCGGTGGCCCCGCGCGGAAAGGGGGCACCGATCGCGGTTACGTGAGGGGGAAATCCTCGCCTAACGTTTCCCGTGGAATCCTCGTGGATTCCCACTAGAAGCGTGTCCTTTCCGCGAATCATAATATTAGCCGTGCCGCGCGCTCGGCGCGACCGACGGTTGCGCGCGTGCGAAACATCGGTCGCGGCGCGCGACAACGTCGCGTGGCACATCGGTTCGCGTTCGAATTGGTTTGATGTGGTCGCCAGTATCGCGGCTACGGCGATCTCTCGATCCCTTTCCTTTTTTTTATAACACTCTTTTAATAGTAGCCGCAATAATGGCACACCGCATGCGGCGCGCGATAGCGTCCTGAGAAAGAGAAACGAAGAGAAGAGGTGAGAAATGCGCGAAGCAACGGTTCCGCGCATTTCAGTAGCGGCTTTGCAGCCGACGCGCTCGCGGAGCCGGGGCGCGCGAGGCGAGGCGCGACGCGCGGGCGGCGCGTAAACACGCTTGCTCGGCCGACGGCACGTGCGGCTCGCTTTCCAGGAATCCAGCTGTTCCTGGCGAAGCCGCGTCTCGTGCTCCGTAGAGTCGCCAGACGTAACAGTACATTCAAGTTACCAAATGTTAAGCCTGTCGAAAGTAGTGGACCAGCATTGCCTTATGTGTTGTTAGCCGACGAGGCCTTTCCATTAACAACGTATATGATGAGACCGTATCCGCGAAGTAGCAGTTTGGATCTGAGGAAGAAAATTTTCAATTATAGACTCAGTCGAGCAAGACGGGTTGTCGAAAGCGCTTTCGGGATTCTAGCAGCAAGATGGAGGATTTATAGAAAACCTATAATTGCAAGTGTTGCAAATGCACGAAAAATTGTTCAAGCAACAATCGCCCTCCACAATTTCATCATTATTAATGAGGAAAAATTGCTTTCAAAAAATATATATGCACATATAACTCCAGAAGATCGCAATATCATTTCTCAAGGATTTAGCTCATTGCCAGTTACTAGAGGCAAATTCGTTAAGAATGGTATCGAAATTCGAAATGCTTATGCAGATTTTTTTGTTGGCTCTGGTGCATTGCCATTTCAGTGGCAGAAGGCAATGGATAATGACTTTTGAGGTATACTATTTGACAATAACCTTTTTTGTGATGAACTATTCATACATAAAAACTTTACTGCGTGTATTATACATAAAACTATAAACTACGTAAATACATATCTCAGACCAATAATAGTTATTAAAAAAAATTTTCAAAGTAGAGATACGTTTTGTTCCAATTCAAACAGTTGCGATAGAATTTGTATTTCAAATTGATTTCTTTCACGTAATGGAAGAGCTCGTAATCTGTCTCCTATTTGGAGTAAAAATCCATCGACTGCATCTGGTTTTCTCACGGGTTCACTTTCTAGGGCTGATAATATAGCTTTTGTTACATCTGAGGTATCGTGCACCTTTACTTCTTAAAAATAATAAAATATTAACGTTAATACATTATAGATATATCAGAAAGTTAATATATAGTTAATATAAATCGTGTATTTGATTTGAATTAGATTTTTAATTTATTACTAAAACTTTTATTACTAAAACTACTATTATCTAGCATTTTAAGAAAAAATGATTGCATAAATAAATAATACTAACTTTTTTTCTGTTGCAAATTCTGTTGTTGACTCCATGATTGGGGGAAAGAGTCACTTACCCTTGATTTCTCACTTTCATTAGAAGAGTTTGATGTTTGTGGTACTGTAATCTGTACAGGATTTTCAATTACTGTACCATCAGTGATGTTAGCTGTGCCGCTTTCTGGCGCATGCGTACTGCAATAGCAGTGAAATTCAGTAACGTACATATGATGTGGGAGATGAACACCGACAGTTCTGGCGGGATTTGGGACAGCAGGAAGGTTAGGTGTGCGGGATGAAAATGTAAGTAATATATTATTATTTATGTAATTATTACTTGTGCAATATTGTGTATTATGGAGCCAAATGTTGCTAAAAAAGCCGGTAAAAAGCCATATAATAGACAATTTCAAAATAAATGGTTAAATGAAAATATTTTTAAAGAATGGTTGGCTTTCCATTCCGAAGTAAATAAAGCATTTTGTATAGCATGTAATGTCAGCATTAGATGTTGTAGGACAGATTTGATAAAGCATTCACGAACGGCTAAACATATAGATAACATCAAAGGTCAAAACCTCGAAAACGTTAATAATAACGTTTTCGAGGATTACGTAGTTTCTCATGATGATAAAGTGAAACGAGCGGAAATAAAATTAGCTGCATTTTTTGCAGAACATAATATTGCTTTCCAAGTTACGGATCATTTAAGGGGATGCTAAAGCCGCTGGCGAACTCGATTAGTGTCGATAAGATAGGAGATCGCGTCAATTATCGATTATTTTTAGTTCTAAGTTCTACGTTAGATGTCGTTTTCGGCAGCAGTAAAGAAGAAATTGGAGGGCAGACCTCC